CAGGCGTCCGCTCTCTCATCAGCATGGGCTGCTCCAAGAAGACGCTCAGCGCGGATGGCGAGGTGCTACGCCATGGTGCGGTACGGGGCCCTGCGGACCCACGCGAAGGGGGCCCTCGGGGCCACTCTCGAGAAGAAGGGTGAAATGATATGGGCCGCGGGCTGTGCGAAGGGCATGGAGGCCTGGTTCGAGAAGCTGGGCGCCGCGGTAGAGGACTGTCGCAAGTTGCGACCTGAAATTGAAGGGGGGAAGCCGCGTGCACGGCCGAGCATGGCAAGGAAGGGCTGCTGGAGCCTCGCGGACGGGCGGCCGCGCACTTGGGTAACCAGGGGGCCTTGAGGGGGGAGTCGGGCGGCGATGCAGACGCGCGGGAGGCCTGCCGCAGGATGGCTGACTACTCCGACCAGTTCTTCACGGACGACCAGTTCACGATGAACATATACTGCAAGCGCAGGGCAACCAAGACCTGGGACAACCCAGGAGGGAGCAGGTCCTGCATCCACGCGGACCGCTGGACGCAGCTTCTCTCCCCTGAACAGGATGAGGGGGGCGCAGTGGCCAGCGGTGGCGCTGCCGCTGCGGAGCCCGGCGCGCCGCGAATTTTGCCGCGCGCGTCAGGGCGATTGACCGCGCAGCCAAGCCGCCGAAGGCGCGGCGCTTACGGGCCGAATGCCCCGAGGAGGAGACCAGGGATCTGAAGGCCCTGCTGCGGGCGGACGAGCTCAAGAAGGACGGCGTCGCGGCGATCAGCCCCGCGGACGCGTTGCGGCGCCATCCGCCGGTAGAACCCTTGGCAGCGGGCGCGGCTTCCAAGAAGTATTCGGAACCGAAGCAATTTGGAGGCCATTGGGCACTAACGAGCGACATGGCGGGGGGGAGATACCTGGGTTCAACTGGTGTGACATATGCTCGCAGATAGCGCGGGGGCTCAATGGCTCTGATTGGGCGGGCTACAGCGAGAAGACCAGGGACAGTGCGAAGCGCGAGAAGCTCGAGGAGGCGAGGGTGGCGATGCTGAATTAAAAGCAGCGTCGCGAGCCGGACGTCGGCAGCCTTGCCGGCGGGAGGAGTGCAGGGGCGGCCTCGAGCGCCACCCCCGCTGGCGCGCGCCCTCGGCGGGCCCCCCTTGGCGGCGAGGGGCGGCAGCGGGCGTCAACTCGGCGAGTCCCCGGCGGACCCCCGCAGGCGGTAATTGGCGGCGTCCGGTCGAAACGTGGCGAGTTCTCGGCGGACCCATCCAACTCCTTGGGGGCGCGCGCGAGAACCCCGAAGTGCAAGGTCTGCTTGGGGCGTGCATCGATATCCCATTCCAAGTGTCCACCGTTCTGAATGCAAACGCATTTTCCGGCAGGGGGCGACCGCAGGACCACCGTGGAACAACCGCGGGGCAACCGTCGGGCAACCGTCGGAACAGCCATTGGAAGAACCACGAGGCAACCACGGACCAACCTCCGGCCGTCCAGGAGACCACGGAACAGCCATCGGGATAACCACGAGACAACCGCCTTGACCGACCGTCCGGCCCAGGACCTCGCATCCTTTTCTGGCCTCCGTTGTCTCCGCTGACATGCGGGCGCCCGCCTCCCTCCGCGGAGATGCGGGCGTCCACCTGAGTAAATCGACAGCTTCGCTCCTGGTGGCAGTCTCGTCCAGCAGGTCGAACAACTCCCCCGCCTCCATTTTGCGAGTGCATCCTGGAACGCGTCGGGAAAAGCTTGTCCCATGGGTTGGCGTACCCTGCAATGTGGCCATGCCGGACATTGTCCTTCAGATATGCAACAGCCCAGCGCCTGTCACAGAGCCACCCGTGGGTGGTGACATTCGAACGCTTGCGCAGATATTGGCCCGACGAGGAGGAGGGGGGAGGCGGAGGCGGAGGGAGGAGGGAGAAGGAGTCAAGTTAGAGAGAGAGAGAGAGAGAGAGAGAAAGGGGGATCTGGGCGGGGTGCTCAGCCGACAGAAGTTTTTATAGTCCGCCCGAGACTGCGATCCACCTCGGCCGGGGTCAGCCGACAGGGCACCCCATTTCTTTCACGTCACCCGGGCTCTTCCTCGGGCTGGGCGTCGCGCCGCGCGCGCGCCTCAGCCCTGGCTGGCCTCTTGGGCGAGGGAGGAGGGGGGGAGGAGGAGGAGGAGGAGGAGGAGGAGGAGGAGGAGGAGGAGGAGGAGGAGGAGGAGGAGGAGGAGGAAGAGGTCTAGGAGGAGGAGGAGGAAGAGGAGAGGAGGAGGAGGGAGGAGGAGGAGGGGAGGAGGAGGTGGAGGAGGAGGAGGGAGGCGGAGGAGGAGAGGGGGGGGAGGGGCAGGAGGACAGGGGGGGGGAGGGGCAGGAGGAGGAGGAGGAGGAGGAGGAGGAGGATAATGAAACCAGACCATCATCAGGGGCCAACTCCCCCATCGCACTGCGAGTTGATCGCACCGACGCATGACAACCCCACGTAGCCCCGCATACTGCACCACCCATTTCCCAAATCCATCCGGGTCCTATTCCCGAGCGGGTACATCACACAATCACAGCGAACGCGATCCCAACTTCATACGTTCACAGCCCACGCTTGAAATAGCCAGCCCTGGTGGACCGCAGTTCCATTTCCGACCGCCCAAGCACATTCAAACGGGAGACGGAGTTAGGATTCTGACCCACATCCCAGCCGACTGTCTACACCACAATTTTTTTGCACAAGGCCACCTCACAAATATTCGCGACATATAGAGAAACGTCACCAGGACACGAGGACACATGACGGCGCATCTGCATAGGGCACACACATCATTCCACAACAGCAGCTTACATACCTACCCTGGCATTCGAACCCAAAAAACAACACACTCCAGAGCACGACCCGACGCTAGCTACGAGGACGCGCCACTTCCACCAGCACAGATACCAGCCCCACCTGTACAGCCAGCACCATAGCAACAACCCCACCCCACTCCTCCCCGCCATCATTGGACAACCATGCCCGACCGAACGTTCGAAACTACAGGCTCCGAAGCCAGCATAGACAACGACGACCCATGCGCCACGATGAATGGAGCGGCAGACACACATGAGATGTATTTCGCCTCGTTGCCACCGAGCAAGTACCACGACATGCGCTGCCCGAGCGAATGGTCAGTTTTCTACCACCACGCCAGCGACACGGGCACTGACGGCTACGACAACGACCGATGGCATCACGCGCTGTACTACCACGAGCGCCCCAACACTTCCAGACATACATATCCCCAAGCGACCATCTAGTGCTACCTGGGTGGGGCAGGTGCCCAGACAAGTTCAATAGCGAGCTCTTCGTTCCCCAGGACGGGAACCAAGATGTACAAGACCCCCCACTACAATCCGACTCAAAAGCAACACAACTCGCGACCTTCCGACCACCACCCATCACCGAAACCAAGTACTTCAAACTAAAGGGCGCCATACACGCCGACACTTTCGTACTTCCCCCCATGCCCTCAACACGTCTGACCTTATTCCGACACGACAGCGGCATGGACGCATCTGCGGGTTGCTACCGCACCAGCGCAGTATTCCGTCTAGCAGTAATTACCACCAGTCAGCACCTCCAAACACTAATGGCAGGTGGACACGCGCCACTTAATCACACCACGATCGCAGCGGCACAAGACGTAGCACAATGGCTCAACCCATGCCGCGACGTCGACAACACAATGAAGTACGGCTGGGCGGACAATAGTTACGACACGGCTGCACTCTCACACAAAACATGCAATTTGTTGGCGGCTCCCAGTATTACGAGGCTTGCGCAATCGACAGACAACTACAGCACACGCGAAGAGGACACGCCGACAACCGCCACCTCGACAGACGACAGACCTGCCCCACAAACACCCACCAGCATTATCCTCTCAATCAACCAGCGGGGGCACGCCAACAACCACCAACGCGACTATCGACAGGCCAGCATGACCTCCTGCACCACCTCCGACCAAGCATACACCACCCGCCAAAAACCACCACTACCATCAACCTACGTTACCATAAAAGCCACCACCAATACCAAAGACCTCCCACACCATTCTCAACAGCTCTACCGCAGACACGCCTGCTACACTTCACACAAAGGCAACTACCACATGGCCACCCACAGCAAGGGTCGCCATACCAGTGCACCCACCACCAAAATTCCCATTGCCTGCCCGCCCTGCGAGGATGTTATGACGCAGCGATGACAGCAAGAGGTACCGATGCACCGCCTGGCGCCACCGACCTACGCCACATTACAAATATACTTCCCAGTTCAAGTACGCCAGCAGCCCCCATATGCATACCATCGGCGTGCAACACAACATGACCGACAGTCATGGACGCATCCTTGTACACGACACTGGGGGCCCACGCTTGCACGATCACATTGACACAATGCCATCGCACCAAACACGGTACGAGCAAACTCCGCCAGCATTCACACGCGCAGCAGCCAACAAGACGCACCTTGTAAGGAATCACCACCGCCAAGGATTGCGTACCATGCGTTGCCTCCTTCTATTTTAGTGCGAAACAGAGGTAGCACGCACCACTGAATCTTAAGGGGCAGACTGATATTTATCATTCAGGGATAGGTGGGGGCCTATCTTACCAAGGTGCGTGCTGCCCTTACCTGGCGGGCACCTACTCTTTCTGCTCTGCTCGTCGCCGCCTTTATTTCTAATCTTCCCGCTGCGCCGCCATGTACATTGTGAACCGAATTGTCTACATGTTTTCCTTGCAAGAACGATGCAGGCTAGATCCGTACGGCGGGTTTAAATACAAAAAGGATCAGGAAGAGGAGGAACAGGAGGAGGACGGGGGGGAGGAGGAAGTTGGGAGGGGCTAGGAGGAGGGGGAGGACGAGGAGGAGGAGGAGGATGAGGAGGAGGATGACGAGGAAGAGGAGGAGGAAGTGGGGAAGGGCTAGGAGGAGGGGGAGGACGAGGAGGAGGAGGAGGAGGAGGACGAGGAGGAGGAGGAGGTGGAGGAGGAGGAGGAGGACAATGAGGAGCTTAGACAAGCCATTCTCTGGCGCCCCCGAGCTGCCACCTCGCAGCTGGTCCTGGCTCCGACCGGGGCTGCCCGCGAGCCTCCCCCGCGCGCCGCGCCTCGACGCCGTGCGTCCCCCGCCGGGCTTTCGCGGATGTTCGCCGCCGGAGGGAGCCACACAGCCCTGCTCCGGAACTCGGGGGCAACGATGCTGAGGGGGGATCGGCTCAGGGGGGAACGCCTCGACCCCGGGTCGCCCACGGATCGCCGACAGGGGGTGACGGGAAGAGCGAGGTACGAGCGAGTGACGTTGAGTAGGGGGCGAAGCCCTTCTTAGGGGGTGTCTAGGGGGGGTGCGAGGCCCAGACGTATGGTCTGATAGCCCGTTTCCCTCGTATTTTTTCGAGTGAAGCGGCTCCTGGGCGGCTCCCATGGCCCGTTTCTTCCCCAGACGGGCCCAAGACGGCCCAGAGGCCCCAAAGATCGTCCCAAGACGGCCCCGGAGGCGTCCCAAACGGCCCCGAAACGGTCCAAGAGGGCCCCCAGACGGGCCCAAGACGGCCTACGAGGCCCCAAAGATCATCCCAAGACGGCCCCAGAGACGCCCCAAAGGGGCCCCAAACGGCCCAAGATGGCCCCCAGACGGCCCCAATACGGCCAAGAGGGCCCCGAGGGCCCTAAGAGAGCCCAAGAGGGCCCCAATAGGCTTCCCAGCGCGCCCGAAGAGGAGGAGGGGGAGGAGGAGGAGGAGGGGGAGGAGGAGGAGGAGGAGGAGGAGGAGGAGGAGGAGGAGGAGGAGGAGGAGGAGGGGGAGGAGGAGGAGGAGGAGGAGGAGGAGGAGGAGGAGGAGGAGGAGGACGAGAGAGGAGGAGGAGGAGGCGGCGGCGGAGGCGGAGGCGGAGGCGGAGGAGGAGGAGGAGGAGGAGGGGGAGGAGGAGAGGAGGAGGAGGAGGAGGAGGAAGGAGGAACGAGGACGAGGCCAAGGGAGGAGGAGGGAGGTGGAGGAGGAGGAGAGGGAGGAGGGAGGACGGAGGAGGAGGAGGGGAAAGGAGGAGGAGAGGAGGAGGAGGAGGCGGAGGCGGAGGAGGAGGCGAGGCGGAGGCGGAGGCGGAGGCGGAGGAGGAGGAGGAGGAGGAGAAAGAGGAGGAGGAAGAGGAGGTGGAGGAGGAGGAGGAGGAGGAGGAGGAGGAAAGGAGGGGAGGGGGAGGGAGGACGAGGCCAAGGGAGGAGGGGGATGTAGAAGGAGGAGGAGGAGGAGGACGAGGCCAAGGGAGGAGGAGAGAGGTAGAAGGAGGAGGGAGGAGAGAAGAGAAGGAGGAGGAGGAGGAGGAGGAGGAGGAGGAGGAGGAGGAGGAGGAAGGAGGAGGAGGAGGAGGAGGAGAGCGAGGGGTGGCAGTACGAACGGTGGTGTGAGTAATTTCGGTTAATGTGTTTGAGGCGCTCTTTCCGTTTCCGTGCCGGCCCAAGTTTGATAGCCCGAGCTCGCCCAGGAGCATGCGGATGCGCTATCGGGGGAGCATCGGCGATGTATCGGCGAGGTATCGCCGATTCCAGGTCGAGGCTCCCCCGCCTGAGCCAGTCCCCCCCCCCTACCGCTGCCCCCCAGGAGCGATGGTATTGCCGTGGCCTGTGGTGACAATGGCTGTGGTCAGTGCGACCTCCCAGCGCCAGTGGCATGCCAGACGTACACGCAGGTTGCCGCTGGCGAGCGCCATACTGTTCTGCTCACCAGCGACGGCGCAGCCGTGGCCTGCGGAGACAATGACCATGGTCAGTGCGACCTGCCAGCTCCAGTCGCGGATCCCACCTACACGCAAGCTGCCGCTGGATGGGGCCATACAGTGCTGATCCGGCTCGACGGCACCGCCGTTGCCTGCGGCCACAATAACTATGGTCAGTGCGAGCTTCCGGCGCTGATCGCAGGCACGACCTACAAGCAGGTTGCCGCAGGTTGGTGGCATACTGTCCTGCTCCGGAGTGATGGCAGCGTCGTGGCGTGCGGAGACAATCATGAGGGTCAGTGCGACCTCCCATCGCTGATCGCGGGAACGACCTACACGCAAGTTGCAGCAGGAGATGGTCACACAGTCTTGCTCAGGAGCGACGGCACCGCTGTGGCCTGCGGCAATACGTACTATGGTCAGTGCGACCTCCCAGATCTGGTCGCGAGCCTGACCTACATGCAAGTTGCCGCTGGTGAGGGCCATACACTCTTGCTTAGGCACGACGGCACTGCCGTGGCATGCGGCGCCAATGACTGCGGTCAGTGCGACCTCCCGGCGTTGGCTGCGTGGCTCGACATCACCTACACGCAGCTCTCCGCTGGACGGAGCCATACAGTGCTGCTCAGGAGCGACGGCATCGCCGTGGCCTGCGGCTTCAACAATGGTGGTCAGTGCGATCTCCCGGCGTTAACCGCGGGAGTGACCTACACAGCTCACTTGCTTCCAGCCTTGCTCCTGCAGGCGTCTCTCGATGGCGGCTCGATTTGCTTCGTGACATTCGGCGGAGTGGAGCGATGCAGAACTGAGGCGGCACCCACCGCGCGCCTCGCAGACATCTACGACCAGCTGATGGCCCTCCACCGTGCGGGCAGGGTGGGACCTGGAGCCTGGCGGGTCGACTCGATCCTGCCAGGGGGCCGACTGCTCAGTGACGCCTCGACCGAGGATACGGTCGCCAGCGTCTTCGGGGCACCTCTGTCAGCCTGAGCCTTCCCCCCGCTCGGGCTGGTCCGCCCGCCTCGGCTGGAACGGAGGAGGGCGCCTGTCTTGATCAGTTTCCACGGGTCAGAATCCGCCTTCTCCTTCATGGGCCCCCTCCGTCTCCCTGCGAGGGTTAAAAGCAACATCCTCGGCTCTGGAGAGGTGCCTCTGTGCGTTTGGTTCTCCACCAAGGAGTGCTCTTCCTTTGGGTAGCCCCGCGGGGCCCCTGGCGTTCGGGGAGGGGGCTCACGCTGCTGACCTGGCCTCATGTGGCCATAGTTCGAGTGTAACTCAGTGCTTCCTCCACGCCCAGTCGCTGCTTTATGCTCAATGCTCTGTGCTCGAGTGTAGCTCAACGCCTTCTGCCGCCTGGTTGCTTCCTCAGCCCTCTCGGGCGCAGCACCCGTCCTGCCCTGTCGACCCGTCCGTTGGTGCGACGAGGAGGAGTTCGTTGCTCTGGCAACGGATGGTGGGAGGAGGATGCAACGTGGTGGTGAATGATGTTGATCGCGGCGACGACGATGATGTTGATGCTGTTGTTGATGATGCTAGAGTGATCATTATGATGATGCCGATGGTTATGATGATGCTGGTGCTGGTGCTGATGGTGATGGTGATGGTAGTGGCGATGGTGATGGTAGTAGTGATGGTGATGGTGATGGTATGGGTGATGCTGCTGATGATGATGGTGATGAGGATGACAATGGCGATGACGATGTTGACGACAATATTGATGTTGAGCTGATGAAATGACGATCTTGGTCATGATATGGTGATGACGATGACGATGATGATGGTGATGGTGCTGATGATGATGACCATGATGACGATGATGATGACGATCATGCTGATGCTGATGATGTCGGTTGTGGTGATGATGCTGGTGATGGTGATGATGATTATGGCGATGGTGATGGTGTTACGGATGCGTATGTGTGATGAAGATGCTCTTGCTGACGACGACGATTCCAATTATAATGATGATGAGGATGCCGATGATGATGCCGTAGCCATTTTGGCTCAAGCCAGGCTCTAGCCTTGGCTCAGCTGCTTTGGTTGCGCACACTGCCCTCTGTAGTGCAACTCGATCCCACAGTTATTGCAAACCATGGTCCACAGCTATTCTGATGCTGCCGCATCGGCTCGTCGCGAACGCGCTGCGCGGCTAGGATATCTTCGCACTAGGCATTCTGACCGTATGAGGCTCATTGCTGTGCCCACCCACCTCCAGAAGCGCGGCCAGGACATGATTGCGTCGATGGTGCTGCACGATTCTCACAACAAGTACAACGGTTTCGCTTCGCACTTTGCACGCTCTGCTGCCCTACATGCAGTTCCTGCTGGCCGTCAACAGCGAGCAGCGCTTCGGGTACATCGTCGTGGCAGCGATGCCAAGCACTCATGGACGCGGAACGGGCCGAGGACGCGGTGCCGCCCTCCAAGGGTGCTCTGCTTGGCTGCCCTTCTTCCTGGTCCTCGGGATGATGTGCGTGAATCTGGTGTCGAACCTCCTGCGTTGAAGGTTCGCCGTATTGAGCCTCCAGCTGCCGCCGCGTCATGCTGTACGCCCTGAGCGACGTGCTGAGCAACTTTTCTCCCCCGCCGGCCTCTACACGTTCCAGCTTCTTGGCTCCTGTCCCGACCGAGGTGTTGGCATGCCAGATGTCAGATCAAAGAGTGCGCATGCCTGTCATGTCCCTTCCTCCCCCCACACAACCATTTGTTGTCTTTTCTGCTCCCGAGGGACGTGCTACCCACTCCGCTGCCATGGCGGCTCCCTCGTCTCCTGGGGCCTGGCCGGCGGCGGCAGCGGAGCAGGCACCCAGCGTCGAAAGTTCGCCGGCCTCTCCGAGGACACGTGCCAGGGGCCCAAAATGGCAGGGCCTTTCCTGCACCACCAGCTAGCGACGTTTCCGCAAGTGGCGGCCAATCGTCTGCCCAGGCGATGGGAAGCTTCCCAACGGCATGAACTACCCGTTCGCCCGGAAGCTCGTGGGCGTCCCCGTGAGAGAAAACCAGGCCTACTAGGAGTGGGACTGTGAATTTGTGCAGACCCCGGACGTGCCCACCATCGCCGAGGTCGAGACCATGCTGCGTGAGCATTCGCGCAGTCGTTTCAAGGCCGCCCGGCCAGAGGGCGAGGCCTAGCATCCTCTTCATTATTTCATCTCTCTCCCCTCGTTCATACCATCGTTTCTCGTCTCTCATCTCCCAATGCGCGTGCCAGCCAAAAACACGACCGTGATATCTAAGCCCCCGCCAAGCCTCAAGCGTTCCTCCAGGAGCTCGTGTCGCTTGCACTTGTAAGCTCGTGGAAACGAGGGTCACCATGGCGGGCACCATTTCCTCTTCGACTAGCAGTGCCCAGTACGACTGAACAGGATGCGAGAGGCACTGTACATGTGGGATGCGCCCGCATCACTCAAGTAGCCACGCCTTAGAACAAGGCGTCGCATCCGTAACGGCCAAGTCCATTGTCAGCTTATGGTCCTGGCATCTGAAGGGCATGACCCTGATGGGCGGACCTGTCCGCATTGTACAGGATGTGAGTTGGGTTGCGCTGGTGGGAGGCGCCCGCGTCCGCTCCTCCTCTTTTTCTCTGTCGTTTTATTATTCCCCATCCCCACTTCGAGCAGGCCAGCCTGTTTTAAGCTTCGTTTGATTCAGAGTTGTCGCTCAGCGGCCAAGGCCCCCTCGCCCCCCCCCTCCCCCCTCGCTGCCCCTGCCACCTCACCCTTCCGTTCCCTCTCCCACTTCCTCCTCCTCCCTCCTCCTTGTCCTCCTCCTCCTCCTCCTCCTCCTCTTCCTCATTCCTTCCCCTCCCCCTCCTCCTCCTCCTCCTCCTGCTCCTCCTCGCTCCTCCTCCTCCTCCTGCCTCCTCCTCCCTCCTCCTCCTCCTCCTCCTCCTCCTCCTCTCCTCCTCGCTCCCTCCTCCTCCCTCCTCCTCCTCCTCCTCCTCCTCCTCCTCCTCCTCCTCCTCCCTCCTCCTCCTGATCCTCCTCCTCCTCCTCCTCCTCCCTCCTCCTCCTCCTCTCCTCCTCCTCCCTCTCCCTCCTCCTCCTCCTCCTCCTCCTCCTCCTCCTCCTCCTCCTCCTCCTCCTCCTCCTCCTCCTCCTCCCTGCACCCCTGGCGCCGCTGGGGCCGAAAAGCGTTGTTTTTTCGCCGCCGGCCGCCGCTCGGCCCCCCGCGCCTTGGCCCCCGACGTCCTCCTCCTCCTCCCCCGCCGCCCGCTGCTCCCGGGGCGGCGCAGGCGCGGCGCGGTCTGGGGACCTGGGCGGCGGAGGTCCCAGACCCCCCTTCGAGTCATGAAACAATCACGACGGGAGGTTTTTCGCTACTTTCGCCCTCCCGGGACCCTTGCCAGCCCTCAGGACCGTCGACAAAAATATTCAGGATGAAAAGCCAGTCCCGGGGAATGGGTCCGGACCTCTGGGGGTCGCGTCATGAAAAAATCATGACGTCGGGGGTCTGGGGTGGGGATGTCCAGTATCGTTTAACCGACCTCGGACCCCCCACCAAATTACCCCCCCAGTTGGGGGCAACAGCCCTCGAGAAACCTGAAGGGAACGGCCTGTATCCCCATCCAGGGGGGTACATCGGCCAGTGGGGCCCTGCAGGCCACGCCGCTGGGACCTGGGCGGCGCAGGTGGGGATGTCCAGAGGGGGGAGAGACTGGTCAAACTGGGGGGTTCTCCGAAGGGCTCAGGCGACCCGTCCTCCTCCTCCTCCTGCTCCTCCTCCTCCTCCTCCCTCCCCCCCCCCTCCCTCCCTCCTCCTCCTCCTCCCCCTCTCCTCCTCCTCCTCCTCCTCCTCCTCCTCCTCCTCCTCCTCCTCCTCCTCCTCCTCCTCCTCCTCCTCCTCCTCCTCCCTCCTCCTCTCCTCCTCCTCCTCCTCCTCCTCCTCCTCCCTCCTCCTCCTCCTCCTACTCCTCCTCCTCCTCCTCCCTCCTCCTCCTCCTCCTCCTCCTCCTCCTCCTCCTCCTCCTCCTCCTCCTCCTCCTCCTCCTCCTTCCTCTCCCTCCTCCCTCAGCCGCCGGCCCGGTTCGAGAGGTTTCGGGCGCCGTACCCGGTACCGCGAACCTCTCTCGGGGCGGGCGGCCACGCGCGCTGGCCCGCGCCCGCGCGACTGGGCGGCCTGGGCTCCGCCGCGCCTGCCCGCTGCTCGCTACCCCTTGCCGGCGCCTGTGCGGCTCTGGCGACGGTGGGAGGTGATGTGGACTCGGGTGGGCGAACTTTGCGGCTCTCTTCTCTGCTCTCTGGCAGGAGGATGATCTGATCAATCTCGCGCCATCTTGGCTGCGCCATGTGCTGAACGCCAAGGCGAAGGTAACTGCGGATCGCTTTCCTGTCGCGCCGCCGCCCTGCATGATGCGAGGGTGCGAAGAGAGTCCGCACACCCGTGTGCCACGATCGTGCTGCAACCCCGATGTCTCAGGGGATGCACCTGATCGCTTGCAGGACCGCCCAGCCGGTCTCTGTTGTTACTGCTTTGCAGTACGGTACTGACCACGGATTTAAGCCTGTGCCAGTTGAGGGTGGGAGGTGATGTGGACTAGGGTGGGAGAACTGACCGTCCTTGTGCCATTGGTGCACGTGCAGAATTTCTAGTCGGACTAATATTCTGCTAGCTGCAGCACCGCTCAGCTTCGACGAGCCGTATGCGTCAGCGAGGAGCCAATCCAAAAAATCCTCCTCCCTCCTCCCCCCTTTCTCCTCCTCCTGGTCCTCCTCCTCCTCCTCCTCCTCCTCTTCCTTCTCCTCCCCCTCCTCCTCTTCCTCCCCCTCCTCCTCCCCCTCCTTTTCCTCCTCCTCCTCCTCCTCAATCTCCTCCTCCCCCTCCCCCTCCTCCTTTTCCTCCTCCTCCTCCTCCTCCTCCTCCTCCTCCTCCTCCTCCTCTTCCTCGGGTCGCCTACGCCCCCGGGGGAGACCGTGCAAGTCAAACTCTAGGCCTCCTAGTTGGGGTCGGAGTCGATGCGGTCGGAGGATCGCGCCGCATCGGCGACGTCGCCGATGCATCGCCGACGTCGATGATGCATCGCCGATGCATCGCCGATGTATTGGCGATGCGGCGCGATCCTCCGACCCCATCTAGGAGGCCTCTGCAAACGACGGTCAGGGTCTTGATCTTTTTGGAGCTGAGATGGTTTCGGAAGATGAGGAGGCAAACTTCTGGGGGTGTCGGAGCGTCAGGTGGTTTCCATCGGCCGCGCCTCGTCGATTGTGTCTGGGAGTGCCCGAATCGCACCGAACGACCGCTGGAGACCCCAGTTATAACCCGAAGGCTTGTTAGCCATGCTGGAAGCGGGTCCTGAGGGGAACGGGTCCTGAGGTTCTTCGCCGTTCTGGGACTCCTAGGGCCCACCACGAGCCCCAGGACCATTTGATAACAATTTCGGGTGAAGAGCTGGTCCCGGGCGAAGGCCCTGGGGCGCAGGTCTCGTTTCTTTCACGACACAATTTCTTCACGCTGGATGGATTGGTGGAAATGAAGCGGGGAGGGGGAGCACGGATGGGGGGAGGGGGAGAGCAGGGAGGGGGGAGGAGGAAACAGGGAGGGGAAGCAGGGGGAGGGGAGAGGGGGAGCAGGGAGGGGAAGCACGAAGTGGAAGCACGAAGGGGAAGCACGGAGGGGAAGCAGGGAGGGGGGAGGAGAAAACAGGGCAGAAGCCGGGAGGGGGAGGAGTTGAGAGTCGAAGGTCGAGGAGGGTTCCTGCCCTCCCACTCTAATCCGCATCTGCGAGGTGCTAAGCAGGTACGAGTGCGAACAAGAAGAAGACGTGGAGTAACAAGTGGAGAGCGTGGAGAGTGAAGTGGAAGTGCTTGGCCAGCATGTGCTGGGCCAGCACGTGGGGAGTGAAGGAGAGGGCCAGGCCCGTCCGACTCGATGCTCCGATGCGGCCCGGTGCCTGCATGGCGCTGTTGTGCATCACGGTGAGGCCGGTCCGATTCGATGCGGCCGCTTGTGCCGATGCAGCCCGATCCGGCGCGCGTCCCGATCCGAGCCCACTTGCCGATTCGATGCAGACTGCTCCTGAATGTAGGGCACGGGATGAGGCGCAGGAGGGAGGGAAAGGTTAAAACGACGCGAAGATCGGGACAACATCGGATCGGGATAACTCGAAATCTCTGAGAATCGGCGTGTTTGGAGGATGTATTGGGCGCCGCGGCCGCTCCAGAGCGTTCCGGAACGCTCTGAGAGCGCTCCGGAACGCTCTGGAGCGATTTATCCCGATCCTAGCCCTGTTTTAAAGGTGGGGAAAACAAAACGGTCGGCGGGGATGAGCTCTGGCTGATCGCCGCGGTGGTGGCGAGGATGCCCGTGCGCGGCGTGCGTGGGACGGGGTGCCGCGTTGTGCGAGCCGCTGGGGGCCGCGGAGGGAGGGGGGTGGAGGGGAGGGGTTGGCGGGAGGGAGGGACGGAGGGATGCATCTTCTGAGAGAGAGAAAGAGAGAGAGAGAGAGAGAGAGAGAGAGACAAGGAGAGAGAGAGAGAGAGAGAGGGAGAGAGAGAGAGAGAATGATACATATATATATATATATATATATATATATATATCTCCGTAAGGGCTTCGCCCCCTGCCGCCGGCCCCCTCTCTCGGAGAATGGGCCATGGAAGAGCAGGTTTTGGACCCTGACCCCGCGGATCTGCGTGAGGGGTGGCACCGAATTTCAGAAATGTGGCAAATCCCCTTTGTTTTTGGACCCTGACCCCGCGGATCTGCGTGAGGGGTGGCACCGAATTTCAGAAATGTGGCAAATCCCCTTGTGTTTTTGGACCCTGACCCCGCGGATCTGCGTGAGGGGTGGCACCGAATTTCAGAAATGTGGCAAATCCCTTGTGTTTTTGGACCCTGACCCCGCGGATCTGCGTGAGGGGTGGCACCGAATTTCAGAAATGTGGCAAATCCCTTGTGTTTTTGGACCCTGACCCCGCGGATCTGCGTGAGGGGTGTCGATTTTGAGCCCCCCCAGCAATTCAGACAACGCGCCCAGGTGGTGCTAAAAATCTGGTTTGGGCCTCCCTCCCCTCGCGCGGTCAATCAACTAGTTACAGTAGCCAGCAAGAAGCAGAACTGTAACACTGGAAACTACAAACTACAACTGGTACAGGAAACTGCGAATCACGGGCCTACAGCCTGGTGGCCCCACATGAGGGCCGGCGGATATAGAGAGAGAGATAGAGCACACGAGAGAGAGAGGGAGGGATGGATGAGGCGAAGGAAAGGGAGACAAGGGAAAAGAGAAGGAAATAGAGGTGAGAGGTGGGCGCATGGGGGGGGGAGCGGCCATGGGAGGGAGGCGAGAGAGCGCTCCCTACTGCTGCCGCGCCTGACCTCCCTCCCTCCCCCCTTTCTCTCCCCACGCCTCTTCTTCTTTTTCTTCTTCTTCTTCGTATTCCTCTGCTTATCTCCGCCTCGTATCCCTGGGCGGAGGATGAGAAGGAAGGCCTGGACGCAACTTTCGGAGCGGCGCGACTTTTCAGCGTTTGGGGGCCCGCATTCCTTGTTGAAGCCGCTGCGGCAGAGCTGATGCTGCTCCTCCATGGGGCCAAATGGCGGGTAAGTCAGTACGCTGCGTGGGCCTCGCGGGACAGCGACGCGGTAACGGAGGGTGGGGGGAGCAGAGGAGGAGGAGGAGGAGGAGGAGGAGGAGGAGGAGGAGGAGAAGGAGGAGGGGGAGGGGAGGAGGGTGATGAGGAGGAGGAGGAGAGGAGGAGGAGGAGGAGGAAGGAGGAGGAGGAGGAGAAGGAAGGGGGAGGAGGAGGGGGAGGCAGAGAGGAGGAGGAGAGGACGAGGAGGAGGAGGGAGGAGGAGGAGGAGGAGGAGCAGGAGGAGGAGGAGGAGGAGGAGAAGGAGGAGGAGGAGGAGGAGGAGGACACATTACTCCGCCAACATCATGCGAGTAAGCATGCTACGTTGAACTAAGGAAGACACCGAGCGACATTCCCGAGATGCGCAACGAATGGACTGGCGCGGTGAGCAGCGACCGCCAATGCGGCAACCCACCCCGCCACCGGCACGCTACGAGGTATTGGCACCAACGCCTGGTAACCCCAAATGGCCACGAGAGACTGGGGAGGTCTCGCCTTACCTTTCGAGGACATATATCCGTGACACCACATGCGACCAGTGGCTACCCCTGGCGATTCGATGCAGTCCTCACCTACGATGCATATACCACACCTTATCCCCCACGACATTTGTCTACAGTCCTCCCACCAAGATTAGCTGCGTCCGGACAGACATCGACTGCGACCACATGCGTTGCGACTGGATACAGCAGCAACTCGAGCGGCGACGGCAAACAGAGCAAACAGAGTACGACTTCCAAGACAGGCCGCGAAAGTATTGCTCAGGACACCGTGCCGCCACCTCCAAACCAGTTCATACCTCGCATCGGCTTCAGACCAAGACCACCCGAGAGCAACCGTGACCGACCGCCAGCGCCACCAGCGCACCAACCCACGCCGCCACCCAATCGGAACATGCCAACACCTGCCACAGTCCCATCTGCTAAACCATTGCAACCTGCGGTAACCAACCCTCGGGGTGACTACGAAACTACTGCAGCGCAATCAACGGCTTAAGCGAGGCAACGGCCTACTGGACAGCACTCAGACGACGACGACAGCGACCAGATTTGCAGCGGCGATGACTACAGTTGCGTCCCCAAGCTCTCCACATGAACATTCCTACCTCCAAGCCAATGACATGACATGCATTGTCCTGCAGGCTGGACATTGCACAGAGCCAAGGGCGACTACAGCGAGAGGACAGAGACGAGGACAGCCGGCACCACGCAGTATCCTACAGGGAGAAAGACAACATTTATACGCACCGCTTCCCGAACGACCACCTGCGATCGGGTGGGTGGCGCAGGTGCCTTGACAAGTACAATCGAGAATGCTTCATCAATAACTCCCACCCGCGCGTGCAGCCGCATCCACCGCGCGCGCCAAAAGCAAGCGCCGCGCCAGAGTCGCCCTTCCACCTTCCACCCACGGAGCCGACCACATGCCTCGCATGCAAGGATGCCAAACCGGCAGACGCACGCACCTTCCACCAACGCGACCACGACTAGACGATGTATTGCATAGGGAGCTACGCCGAAGGATGCAAGAGTTCGCGTTGCATTACAGGCAAGATCTAGACTCCAGATCTGCAGTCAACCTAACCAACGGACACTTCTCCACCTTACTCAGCACACCTACGGCTACATTGTACAACACGACCAAACAAGCCGTCACCACAGTATCACAACGGCTCCACTCTGGTCGCGGCTACGACGACGCTGCGACAACACAGCACAGCACGGCTCTTACATCGCATCTGCAGTCGGAATGACATGCCCCGTTGAACAGGGGTTGCAGCCATTCATCATCCACGTCGAGCCCCACAGGCAGCGACCACCAGCTAGACGACACGTCAGAGTTTGAACCACAGGGCGACCGCGGTACACGACCGAGCGCTACGATCACGCTAACCCAACAACCAACGAACACAACTGCACCGACAGCGCAGCATACCAACACCACCAGAGTAAGACGTAGCCCGATACACCCCTCCAAGATCCCAGATTCCTGTGATCGGTCCACCGCCGAAACCAGCAGCGGCACATCTCTGGCTCATCGATATACCTACAACAGAGCTAGCACCACAGACCTTTGCGACCCTGCAAGTCTACTTTTGCCCATGAGCCCCACCTACCAACCTGCCGGACAGACAGACAGGCTCAACGCCGATAACCCAACGCGCTAGACACATTTAAACGTTGTGCGTAGAGGACAGCAGCGACCAGCGATTCCTACAGTGAACGGGCACACTTCAGAACCGCCAGCAGCAGCAGCACCAACCAGATCAGCAGGACGACAACGGAACATACGCAACGCAGAATCACAGCAGCGCCGCGAAGTTACGACAGCAACGGCAGTACCGACTATGGCCAGACCTAAGCCCCCTACGCCCGACCACGAAGCTCCACCTACACCTAGACCAAGCTTCCCTGCCCGCCGCGCAGACGGTGGAGATTGCTGGGGGTAGAGCTTTGGTTCCCACGAAACCATTCATTCTCGAAGTACTTGGACGCCCAATATGGAAGGTTTTCTATCTGCTGCGCAGATGCGGGGGGTACTCGGGTTAGCCGGCGACCTCGCGCCTTTCACGCCAACGGTTTTCAGGACATCAGTTACCGCGGGGCTAGGACCTCTGATGAGCCACCCCTCTCCTCACGCATGCTGCTTGCACTCTACCATGTCTCGGCTGACATGGCCGCGCTGTTCCACTTGTCGCCTTCGCCCCATCCGTTGCTCTGCGTGCGATTGCTCAACCTCGACTCTTACTTGTGTCTTCGGCTTTGTTTCCTACGGTTGAGTTCTACGTGCCAGTTGGGAAGCAACTCGCCCAATTGCCCCCTCCTCCTGCTGCCGTGCGTCCCTCCTACGTTCTCTCTAACCTTCCCCGCTCCGCTGGCCCGCTGGCCCTTCCCTCCCGGGCGCCTTTCCCCGCCAGCGGCGCGGGGGCGGGGGCGGGGGGGGGGGGGGCATGGGGCCTGGCGTCCGCGAGCGGATGCCCGGCGCATGCCCCTCGCTATCGCACTGGCTCGGCACGGCGCTTGCCCCCTCTCCCCCTCTCCTGGGTCGATGCTGCTTGCCGGTGGGCCATGTGGGGGATGGGAAACCCCGCGCCGTTTTTTGCGCGCTCTTTCTTCCGCCTGCGCTACGTCGCATCTCCTTTCGTCAGCAGCACTGCCTCACTCTCTGTAATGAGTCCTGCTTGCACCTCCAGCACGCTTCTGCTGTGTTGCTGCGTACCTGCACCTGCTGCGGTGGGTTGGGGTGGGGTAGCGGGCGCGCTGGTACTGAACGATAAAATGGTATTGGGAGATGAAAGTTCTACCAGCAGTCAGTTTGCCCCCCTGCGCGAGAGGAAGTGGCACCGCCGGCCAGGCAGCAGCTTTTGCATGCCATGCTGTTTCTCTCGTCCTCCGCGTTTCTGAAAGCGCATCTCGATCTTCGCTACGTCACCAGGTTGTGTACCAGAGCACCTTTTTCCCAACCGCGCTCGTGGCCACGCTGCGAGCCTCTCGAGGCTGCTCGCGGTGCCCCCCCTAGGTCAGAGGGTAGAGCTCCGCGCGCTACGACCCCGTGCAATTCTACATCCCACCTCCCACCTGGCTGCGCGACGGCGAAGGCGTGTCCCTCCACCGAGGAGCCGAAGAGCTAGCCCAGTGCTAGCTAACCGGAGGCCTAGCGGGGCCAGAGGGACATGTTCAACCTGCTGCTCTTACTGGGCCAGCCAGTACCGGCTTGGCCAGCCCATGCATTATTTTACAGTATGAGTCAACCCCTTTTCTGCGCGATTCGCAGCACATTACCCCGCCCAGCTTCGGCACTCAGTCCACTCGGGTCTACCTGCATTGACATCTATCCTCGAGGTTTGTCAACCCATTATTGTTTCTCAGCTTCACAGGGCCAGCGATCTCCTCCTGCCAGCACCGTCAGATTTTGAGCATGTGTCTTGGAGGCGGCGGTGAAGGTGGATCTTATCTTCGACGGTGGTAGGGGCGGAGGTCGCTTGCAGTGCCCACGTCAGACCAGCCAGTACCGTCTAGGCCAGCCCGCCAGATTTTAGCAAATTCTCAGTTTTACCGGCACGCCTGCCACCTCGTACGGGATTGAGCATGCCAGTCATTCTGCAGGCAACCGCAGCACAGGCCAGCCATCTAGCATGCGCCAGCCTCACAGCCGAGACCAGCTTATAAGTACGACTGTTTGGAGGAAGGGATTGTGAGATAACGGGGGTGGTCGGGGAAGGTGATTCTTGCGCTCGTGGCCAGTTTGGCCTTCGGCGGAGGGCGCATGCCTTATTGTGCCGCCGAGTGAGAGTAGCTGATTTTTACCAGTCACAGAAGCCGCCCCCCCGGCTAGACTGCATCATTTCTAATTCTCTATTTTGCTTAACTGTGTGCCGTATTCCTTGGCTGCTCTACTCTCACTGTCTTAATGGCGTAGCATGCGCTGATCTTTTTTTTTGCGTCCAATTGGACCAACATGATTGGATGATTGGAGGACCGGCCTGGTCGGGGTGGGGATGGGGAGGGGCACTCTACGGCCAGGCGGCAAGGGGGCATATGCTTCGATATTGCACTTGCGCGCTTATTTCGATACTCCTGCTGTTCCCGTTAAGTTTGTTATGCTTGTTATTTTTATGCCATTTCATTCATATGTTGGTTGTTGTTCTCTCTGTCCTTATGGCAGCCGCCTAGGTACTCTTCGCCCCCAAAGGCCACACTCTTTTGCTGCAGCTTCTCGCACTTCCTTATCCGTACAGGCGGCTGCCCCTAATTTGATTGACGCGGCTCAAGTCTTCGATTGTATTCCTTGAGACCTAGCGCTGTTTTCGAGAACGCAACAGCTTCCGTTCTTCATGTCCGATCGACGTCGGAAAAGGGAGGGGGAGGAGGAGGAGGAGGAGGAGGAGGAGGAGGAGGAGGAGGAGGTGGGGGAAGAGGACAGGAAAAGGAGGAGGGGGAGGAGGAGGAGGAGGAGGAGGAAGAGGAGGAGGAGGAGGAGGAGGATGGTTGCCTTGTCCGGGGGCGCAGGCACCATGGCCCCAGCGCGCGCCTGGCGGGCTCGGGCAGCCGCTGCTCCTGGCGCCGGCAGGCCGGAGCCTTCTGGAGAAGCAGCCTCCTCCCGCAGCCGCCGCCAGCTTGCTGCTGCTGCTCTCGTCTTTGTCCTCGTCCTTCCTCCCTGGCCTCGTCCGCCCAGCACTCGCCCCCCTCCGCCCGGCCCCCTTCTACATCGGAGGTTGATTGACCTCCTTCCCCGACATGTCGATTAGCGAATTGGCCGGTTTCGGTTCGCGAGAGGGCGTCGCGGCCGTCATTTTTGCGGGTCCAGGTCCGTCGGTTTCGGTCCTAGGCTGTTTTCACGAAAGGGTGGTTTACTAAAGGGAGGTTTGTCCACCGCCGACTACAATTGCGCAACACAAGCGCTTCGCTCCTTTGTCTTCGGCTCTGTCCAGGAGAGCCCGGCCCTCCCCTTCCCCGTCCAGTTTGTTCGATGATCTTCAGGATGCATGTTAGCCCACTGCGTGTTTACCCACTGCGGCTCCGTCGATAGCACGCGGCCTGTGTTGGATCTCGTTCGCTACGCCGCCTGCGTTGCATTGGAGAGCTCGGGTGGATAAACGCACGTTTTCGCTCATCCCACTTCTGAGAGTCATGTTGCTTACACACAGGACTGGGCCGGGTTGTCTTTTTCCAGCTTGCTTTTGTCAGGAGGGGAAAAAACACACAGGCACAATTAATCGTCGACTCCCAGGAACATATAGGAAAATATAGGAAGTTTGTGTGGGGGGGAAGACAGAAATCCAGAAAAGATATGAAAATATGGGGAATCTTTCTATTTGTGTGTGTTTATTTGTGTGCCCTGGGGCCCCATCATTTTGCCATCTGATTACTTCGGTATTTCAGACATGATGCTCCCGCTGCAGCGTGGGCCTCATTTTCGGATCGGCGCCGTGCTCCTGTCGTTCAGAGAGGCGCTCCCGCTTCTGGATCCGAGCTTTTGTTTTCTTCGTTGTCCCCTCCTCTGTTCCTCCGCCTTCCCCTGGTCCTCCTGCTCCTCCCTCGCGTTCTCTCCAGTTCCTGCGGCTGCTATTCGTCCTCGCCCTCCTCCTCCTTCGTCATTTTCGTCCTTTTCCTCCTGTTCATCCTCCTGCTCACCCGCCACCTCATCTTCCTCCTCCTCCTCCATCACGCCCCCCTCCTCCTCCTTCTTCTCCTCCTCCTCGTCATCATCATCATCGTCATCATTATCATCATCATCATCATCATCATCATCATCATCAGCAACATTGTCATCATCACCTTCATCTTCATCTTCATCTTCTTCATCATCATCATCATCATCATCATTATCATCATTATCATCATTATCACCATTATCACCATCACCATCATCATCATCATCATCATCATCATCATCATCATCATCATCATCATCATCATCATCATCATCATCATCATCATCATCATCTTCATCATCGTCGTCATCATCATCATGTTTGTGCTTGCACGTGTATCGTCTAGCAACCGCTGGCGTGTGTGGCCGTTTCCTGTCACAGGTTCGCCTGGAGGCCGCGCTGGCGCGGATGGCCGGGGCGCTGCCCTTCGCGCTCGGCGTGGTGGGAGACCTGGTGCACCAGGCGGGCCTGGCGGCGGTGCTCTGGGCAGGGCGCCCTCCGCCGTGCCCGCAGTGCCCGGCGTGCCCTGGCTGCCCCCCTGCCCAGGCGCGCCTGACCCTGGGCCGGACTGGCGCTTCCAGCCCGAGGCCTCTGCAGCGGGCTGGGGCTGGCCGGCGCTGGCGGCAGCGGCGGGGCTTGGAGGCGTGGCCGGGGCCCTGCTGTGCCGCCGCTCAGCCGCGGCCGCGCGCTCAGCCGAGAGCCCCAAGGGCGAGGATGGCGGGACTCCCACTGGAGTGGGGGTACGCGTTGTTCAACGACCCCGCAGCGCCTCCGCCCCTGCTCTGGCACCAGCGCCTCTGCCACGGGGTGGTGGCGTCATTGGGGACTGAGGAGGTGATGATCGCGTCGCCCGACGGAGACACCTACGTGGAGGACTACAGGGCGGCGACTGGCGACGTGATCGCCTTCCGCAGGGCAGCTGGCCGCTGGCCGCCCCCCGCCGGGCTCCCGCGCGGTCAGTGCTACCGCTTCCGCGCGGAGCCGACGCCGGCGCAGCTGGTGCAGTGGCGGGGCGAGGCGGAGGCTGCGGCGCGGGCCTACCAGGCGGCGCAGGCGGCGGCCCGCGGGCTCGCGGTGCTGGCGCCCGGCGCCCCGGCGCTGCTGCCGATGCCGCCCGCCGGAGACGCCGGAGCCGCGGCAGCTGGTGGGGCTGCGCCCGCGGGGGCTGGGGCTCTGGTGGCGGCGGACCTGCTGCCGGCGGCGGCGGCGCCGGCGGCTGGAGGCGCCGCAGGAGGCGCGGGCGCGCTGGTAGCGGCTGCAGGAGTGGCGGCGGTGACCCACCACTGGGTCAGCGTGGAGACGCGTGCTGGGCTGTCACGCGGCGACGTGGTCGCGCTGAATGGCAGCGAGATCGTCCAGGGCGAGCGCGCGCTGATGGAGCATCCCGTCGGCGGGGGCGTCTGGATCTGCTTGGCCCTGGTGTCGGTGACTGGCACGGACGAGTACAAGGGGAGGGAGGCCGCCGCGGACGCGAGGCTGCTGGAGGTGTCCAGCTCAGCGGGCGGCCGCCGCAGGCGGCTCTGGCGTGACGGCGTAGAGATGCTGAAGGAGGAGACCTTCCCCGACTTCCCCGTGCCAGGCCCACGCACGATGAAGTGGGCGGCCGAGTTTCTGAACAAGAAGACGGGGCCACGTGAACATCACAGTTGGTGGGTGAGCGTCTCGCGGCTCTACAATGACATGTGGGGCGTGCAGGAGCACGACCTCATCATGCAGGTGCTGGAGCTGCTGGTGACCTACGACGGCGTGGATGTCACCAACCTCGCGGGGGCCGAGCTGTTGACTCGCAAGGCTCAGATGATTGAGTACTCGTACTCGGAGGCAGGTCCAGCTGGCCTCGGAAGCACCGACGGGAACGAGGGCGGTGGCAACGCCAAGAAGAACAAGGGCCGCGGGAAGGGCGGCCGCTCCGCGGGTGTCTACGATGAGACGTCGATCTTCATGGGAGCGCACAAGGAGTTCGGGGACCTGCTTCTGGACCCGCAGCTCCTCGACTACGTGGCGAAGGAGGTGGAGAGGGACGCTCAGGTCATGAAGCAGGTGCGAAAGGCGCGCGAGGAGAGAGTCCTCGCGCGCAAGGCCGATGCCTGAGGACCTCCCGCGGCGGTCTGCCCCCTGGGCCGCCGTGGAAGGGAGGAGGGGGGCAGCGTCTGGAGTGGGCTGGGGCGCTGACAGTTGTGGGGGACAGCCCACTGATGATTGGCGGGTGCCACGTGATGGTCGGCAGCGCGACTTGCTGCCGCTCCCTCGGCTTCGTGAGGGGACCGCTGATGTACGGAGTTTTGTTTCGCATGCTGGAGCCCGACCTTTTCGAGCAGTGCGGCGACGTGCAGAACGGCGGGGTCACGACGACTACTGGGCGAACTGCATGATCGACACGCTGAACGAGATGGCGGGCGGTCCTGTGCCACCGGGCGCTGGGCCAGAGGTTCCCTCGGCGGGCCAGGCGCGCTGTCTTGAGCGCCTGCGCACCGCTGCGCGGGCTGTGGGGCCTCCTCCCGAGGGCATGGGCGGCGAGGGGGCCCTGAGTGAGCTCTTCGCCAAACGAGGGTACGGCGGGGAGCCCGCCACCCTCGCGCCCCTCGTGCTTGACCTCCTCTCCGTGCCTCCGGAGGGCCACAGGCCGCGCGGCCTTGAGGAGGTTGCTGGAGATGTTGGCGCGCGCATCGCCGAGGGGTAGAAGAGCAAGATCCTGCCCAAAGAGGAGGCTGGGAGGAAACGTGAGGAGTGTGGTGTGAAACGTTGTTACAGCGATCCTCTGCTGCGAGATCGACGATACTACGCGCGCCTGGTGAGGCACCTCGCCAGCAGGGGACTCATTGAGTTCAAGCGGACCTGCACCGAGCAGGTCGGCATCTTCTCGGTATGGAAGAAGAGTGGCAAGGTTCGGCTCATCATAGACTGCCGACTGTCCAACACGCACTTCGACGAGCCCGAGGACGTGAACCTGGCCACGGGCGCGACCATGGGCTCCATCGAGGTGGACTCGGCCGCGCCGGTGGCGCTGGGACAGGTGGACATCGCGGACGCCTTCTATGCGCTGGCGCTGCCGTCGGATCTGACCCGCCTCTTCGGCCTGCCGTCTCTGACGGCTGGGGGGGCGGGGGTCTCGCGCTGCAGCGGACAGCCTGCCGGCGTCAACGATGTGGTGGTGCCGTGCTTCGCGGCGGTGCCGATGGGCTGGTCGTTGGCGCTAGGCGTGTGCCAGAGCGTGCACGAGGAGATCGTGCGACGGGTGCCGGGGCTGCCTGACTCGCAGCGGATGGCCGACGGCCGACCGCCGCCGCCGCTCGCGCCGGTCAGCCACACGCAGGATGTGGACAACTTTGCGGCGTTCTCGCAGGACTTCGCGAAGGCGGAGGCTGCCGCGATCGCCGTGGACGCGGGCATGAAGGCGGTGGGGCTGCCGACGCATGGCGTGGAGGCCAGCGTGGGCGGCGTGTGCTTGGGCTGGCACTTTGACGAGGAGGAGGCGATCGTCGCGCTCAACCCTGTCAGAGTCTGGCGCCTGAGACTTGGAGTTCAAGAGTTGCTTCGACGACCTCTTGTCTACGGTTGGCGGGTCGAGGTCGTGGTGGGGCACTTCACTTTTGCTGCCTTGATGCGGAGGGAGATGATGTCCTGCTTCGGGGCTGCGCATGGCTCCATCCACGCTCATCGTGACGATCGCGCGGCCCTCTGGCCTGCAGCGCGCCGGGAGCTGTGGTGGGCTGTGAGCCTGCTACCGCTGGTGCGGCGCGACCTGGCTGCGGAGTGGGGCTCGACGGTGATGGCGTCGGATGCCTCGCCCTGGGGCCGCGGCGTGGTCGAGGGCGAGAGGGCCGAGGCGCTGGTTCGGCGAGCCGGGCGCGTGAATGAGAGGTGGCGCTTCAGCAAGCACGGCGAGCTCAGCGCGCAGGCTCGCTGTCGTCCCGAT